TCTTCATCATTGCATTCAGGTGACAAGTCCACCGTGCACCACGCCGTCTACGGCGGCATCAGAGACATCACATGCAAGTACCGAGGCGCGAACACGAGAAGCCTCAAGCGCCGCTGTGGACCGTAGCTCTTCCCCATCAATCGTCCAAACTCGGTCTCCACGTCGAACACACCTTGCACGAGTGGCGCAGTGGCAACCACATCCCAAGAAGAGAAAATCGTCTAAGTCCACCCAATGAGGAAACAGCTTGCTTACTAAGTGTTTAGAAAAAAAAATCGTCCCGGGCGTTTGTCAATCGAAATAAACCTTGAATGACCATTGATCAATCGGAACTTGTCTTGTCCATCTGCTTCTACCCACCAAGTTGTCTCATTGCTTCGCTGACTCGTCTTATGGCGCTGCCATTTGACATACCAATCAGAGCCATGTAGCCCTAGAGAGTCAAAGCCAAATAAGTTTCGTATGGAAAAGAAATGGGATTTATTTCAAAATAAATGATTTTCTGGTCTTTGGGCTGCTATGGCATCCACAGGAAGCGTATGAACACAAGAGCACCCTCGTTTGATCCGCAAAAATTTAGCGCTTCTGCTGTGCTTGATTTGAAACGCACAGCAGACAGAATCGCCGAGCACGACCCGAAATACTGACTGCCAATTAATCGCACCTGCCTCAATCCCAAGAGCAATATGTTGTTACAAAAAGGGAATACATATGTTACTTTCAAGGAGGTGACCGAACTATCCCGCTGAACAACATATTAAGGTACATTCTGGTGCCGTTGCATAACAAAAAAAAAAGTTTTTGCGCGCACCTCGACTCCACCTCCTCCCGCCCTCTGGCGCGCACCTCACAGCACCGACTTGATCTCGTGGGTGGGACTGGCTCTTTGGTGGCATTTTTCTCTTGGATATCTGCCCAAGCACTTCTTCAAGGCAGACCACAGCCTCGCAGCGATCAATCGATCGACGCGCAACACCAAACGCTTTCATTCGTTTTTTATTTTTTATTTTTTTTTCCTTTTCCCTTTCTTCCTCTGACTTGAGTTTAGAGTAGAGCAAGGAGCGACGATCATGGCGGACCGACGACTCACACGGCTATCCAAGACCATGACGTACCTTCTGCGACACGGCGCTGAGAAGGAAGGCGTTCCCATGAGCAAGGATGGCTTTGTTCATACTGCTGATTTGCGTCGCCATGACAAGCTGCGCCATCTGGACGATGACACGGTTCGCGAGATTGTCGCCACTGATGCCAAGGGCCGTTTCGAACTGCGCGAGGGCCCCCTGCGCGTGCGCGCCACCCAGGGCCACTCGCTCAATGTGCAAGAGGACAGCCTTCTTGATCCTGTCCTGAGCGCAGCAGACTGGCCCGTGGTTGTCCACGGCACCTATCATGCCGCCTGGGCCCAAATTCAGCGCGAGGGCTTGCGCACCATGGGCCGCCAGCACATTCACTTCAGCACTGCCGAGCCGGGCAGCCGTGAGGTGATTTCTGGTATGCGCACCACCTGCAACGTTTGGATCTACCTCGACCTCGACCAAGTGCTCCGCGATGGTATCCCCGTCTTCATCTCCCGCAACCGCGTGCTCCTCACGGCTGGACAAGACGGCGTCCTGCACCCCCGCTACTTCAAGCGGGTCGTGCGCAAGCCATCATGAACCTCGCCCGCCACCAATTTCCGCCCCTGATGACCTTGCATACTTTGTACAAGGCCAATGTCCGCTATTTCCACCTGCTTCAATCTGCATCGGACCTGCTCAATGAAGGAGGGCTGCGCCCTCGAGCTCGTTTCTGATGCCCTGCACTAGGCCAGGTTTTCCGCTTTTGACTGCTTCAGACCCTCACCAGACCCTCACCAGACCCTTTCTACCCTTCTCATGTTCGCCTCGCTTTGTCATTGGTTGTGAGACACTTGATTGTGAGACATTTGATTCTGAATTGATGACACAGCACACGCCGATCCGTCGATTGCTTGACTTTGGAAGCCCATTTTCTCCTTTTCCTCTTCTTAGCGTGCATGTTGCTGACTACTGGTCGCACCATGGCTGCACCTGGGAAAGATCCACGTGCCGCGCTGTCCCCTCTAAGATAATGTCTGGTCATGGCAGAATGGCAAAAAGAAGAGGCCCAATCTATCAGACACTCGCGCCCAAGAAGCATCCGCGAGGCAAGTCAGGGCAAGCGCCTTTTCCCCACCGCACTCACCGGCCATCGCTTCACCCGTAGCGGGACCGTTGAGGATTCCCCAGCAAGTATGGCCCGCAGCCATAAACAGACCCTGTGACACAGCAAATCACCGAATGAGCCTGCCCCTTCAGACGCTGACGTGCGGACAGCATCGCCCTAGCTGCGAAAAGCAGTCGGGGCGCGGCTGCAACGTACCTTTTGCAACGGCCCTATAAATGGAACGCCCGAGTCAGGCATGGGTAGATAGCATGCCTATCTCCCACACACTCAAAGTGACATGAGCATGCGACCAAAAGCCTCTCCCGCCACGCACCAAAGCCGATTCGCACCTGCACGACAGTCACTTCAGCATCTTGCAGTGCACTGGAGCATGCGTCTGCCCCCATATTCAACCGAGCAAGAAGCATTAGCGTATCGAGGTTTCGACCGGATCCCACCCAGATGGCCCACCCCATCTAGCAGCCCCTCGAATGTCATCTTCACCTCTGCGCCATGTCTATCCTGCCTGTCACAATCGGCCTCGCCCAAAGCACCCCACTCACCCATGATCTCCTTCAGTTCAGCACCAATGCCCTCTGTAGGCACCACGTCAGCCGAGTTGGCAGGAAGCGGCGTGTGCGCGTGTGTCCCGCCACACATATACACGCTGCCGTCTGCAGTCATTTTGCACCATTGCACGGGTGAGTTTGGCAGCCATGGCAGCCGACATGCTTGCTTGCCGAGCGCCCATACCTGGACGTGGATAAATTTCCGGGTTCTGCATCTTGCCCCGACGAGTGTAATTGATAAAAACGGCCGTTCCATCAATGTCCGCCCTTGGTCCAGGCTGCACCACGATCGAATGGGCCTTTTCACCCCCAATTCTGGGCGCTGTGATCGCTCGCACCCATTCTCGGCACTGGCCGCTCCAAGGTCCCATGCAAAGCAGCACCGCATCGGCTGGCACAGCCTCCCCCGTGGCCAACTGGACGCCACACACCTCGGCCAGCCCCTCCCGATAGCTCAGTCCGATCACGGTTTCCACTCGCACTCGCGCACCATGCTCCTGGGCCAGTTCCACCATCTTGCGTGTAAACAACCCCTGTCCCAGTGGCACGATTGGTCTGTGAGATCTTCTTGGCGACACGCCATGGGGCACGGGGTGTGCTCTTAACAGGTCTGCCTTTGGATCTCAGACCTCAAGAAAGAGTCCAGCCAGCTGTCAGCATCATCGCGACTTACCGGCGTCACCTGTGCCGTGTTTTCCGTGGATCCCATGTTTTCCGTCTTCCCATCAGCACCGCCATCCAGCCACGGCACCGCAGGCGAAGGTCGCCCTGCTGACTTGAGCACATTAATGCCTACCGTGCGCAGTCGGCGATACTCCCAGGGATTGCCGTGGGCCGCAGCCAGCTGCCTGTTAGCCCCGGCATGAACACACAGCTCATAAGGCAAGGACAACGAGGCACGCATCACCCTGGGTGGTGGTCAGACGGCAACGACAGGAATGAAAGCCAAATCAGCCTACTCGTGAAGATCAAAGCTGCGACGAGCCAAGGACTCTAGTGGTCCTCCATTGCACCAGTCACGGGCCAGAAACCCTCCTGTTTTGCCATGCCCCCCGCATTTGCCGTGGAATGAGCGACGCACAGCCACCCGAGATGCAACCTTTTGCAAAAGCCGCAGACGACGCACCCGCTTTTCCCGAAGCTGCACAGGCAACACCCGTGCGCTCAATCAGCGTCACCTTGGCTCCACGACAGGCCAGCTGATACGCCGAGCAAGCCCCAATGATACCGCCGCCCACCACAACCACATGCATCCTGCTAGCTGCCGTCAAAAAAAAAACCCCCCAGGTGCCCTTCGCTGCACCTCTTTCTGTATCTGAAAAAAAAAGGCTCCAAACATTTTGTTATGAAAGCAAATTTTGATCAACACACACAAAAATCCCATACAACATGAGAGATGTCAGTCAGTCAGTCTCATGAACGGCATGTCGCTGCTTCGACGCCGCCTTGGGCTCTAAAAGGCGTTATGCAATGCAGATGGGGCTCTTACTCTCACCCAGCGACGTCAATTGTGACAAGAGAGGAGCGAGCTACACAGCTTTTGCGGCGCTAAAACGTCAAGCCTGTACTGATGAGTGACCACGCGTACCAGCCATTAAGCCTCAAAAGACATCAACCAGATTTGTTTTTCATACTCCTCAACCAGAGCGAGCAGAAAGACACCAAGGCTTTAGGAACAGCTCATGACAGCAGGCTATTACGAGGGAGCGCACGCGTCTTGACCAAGTCAGTTGGTGAAGCTACCTGTGAGCCGAATGTCTCGCGAGCTCGAACCAACGTAGACCTGGTGTCAGACAACGGCCGAAAGAAATGAGAGCATCGCCACAAGACGAAAGCACCAGCACAAATGCCCTTCCATGCTTGGCCTCAGCATGACATACCTGAAATTCACCAGATACCTCGGACCATGAATGGGTACTAGCATCCCACACGCTGCGATCACGGCTGCGCAAAGGCAGCTTGACTTCCGCCTCGGCAAACGCATGCAAAAACACTTTGGTGAATCCTGTTGGGGGCAATCAAGAGAGGCAGAGACAAGAAGGCAAACAGCCATGCATTGACGATTGCATGGATGTATTGGCCATGCCGTTAGAGTGGCGTACAAGGTCTTGCATTTGGTTTGTTCTCAAAGATACCGACTGTACGCCCTCAGGAACGCACCTTTGAGTTGCTTAGGGGGCTCGCCCGCGCTGGAAGGGAAGCCAAGGTAGAGTTGGACCACCTCACCACCATAATCCTAGACATAGGTATTCAATTCAGCGTCACATGTGTACTCGTGGCACCGCTCATTCAAAGTGCTGAATGGACAGCAATGCCATGCGCGACCACTTGAACGACGTTGCACACCGATCAGATTTCACCCACCTCAGCAATGTTGGTCAGCTTGAACGCCACTTCATCCTTGCTGACGGTCAGGTTGTCATATTTGAACGCAGCATAGGACAAGCCATGGCCAAAGGGAAAGCGCGGTTCGATGCCGTGCGCATCATACCAGCTGTCGAGTTCCGCAAAAACCATGAATGCTCCTCGCTCCAAACGTTCATGCCCTCACAACAAGGCACAAGAGCGACCAAAAAAAAAAAAGGAGGGTTCATGTCAGCACCCAACAAATCCCTGACGCACCGATAGCCGATGAGGAGACGCTCATCATAGTACGCCTCGGCAGCGTCGTCAAGACCAGGATATTGACGCTCCGTAAAGCCGACCTCGTTCTCCACATTTGGCATGGTTAGGGGCAACTTGCCACTTGGGTTGACGGTGCCAAACAAGACTGCCGTGCCACAGCCAATGAGCTGGGATGGTGTTGGATGCAAGCAGTCCACGCGAATATGTCGCACAAACCATCAGCAGCGGCATTGGCGCCTTCTTGACCAGGCATAAAGTTGACAACAATACTGGCCACGTCCGCCGACCAGGGCATCAAGATGGCTCCAGGCGTTGTCACTAGTTGAGGAGTAAGGGTTTGATCAAGACAAGGCGACCACGTCGATCGTTCGCTCGCCTCTGAAAGCTAACACTTGCAAACATGCCGCATAACGTTTTTGTCGAAAGCAAAGTGACGCACCAATGACCACCACCTTGTCGCTGTGCGAGGCCGCAGCAATGATGAATTCGTCCTGCGCGTGTTTGCAGCGCAGCAATGAGCTCTTATGCGGAGAAGATTGGGACGAAAAGGCTCATCAACAATGGCACCAATGTGCCAAACCGCACCTGTCCACCGGCCAAGCTGAGGTTGGCACGGTCAGCGCCCTCGTGTGAAGTGGTGGCCACAAAAGCCAAAACATAGTCAACCTGCATGTTCGAGCATGAACACCGCAGCAAGGTTCGATCCAGTCAATGTTCATTTTGACGTGAGAGTATTTTTGTTGCGGACAGAGAGGGTCACTGCGTTGTGCAATTGAAAGAACCAACCTCCGCAGCTGTGCTGGCAACCATATCCGTATCGCTGCCGTCCAGATAGATCACGCACTGGTGGTGGACACGTCACATTTGTGTGAGACGTGCTGGTGACGAACCACCAAGCTCGGTACCAACCAACACTTGGAGAATGGCCCGCACGCCTACACAGAAGCTACTGCCAACCTGGTTTTCCACAACACAGTCCTTTTGGCCAGCTTGATTGTTGCGTGTGGGCCCAAAGCCGAGGGCCGTCTTGAACGCATCAAGTGGCGTGACCATGTATGGAATGTCGACATGTCCGGATCCTCTACAAGAACCCGTTTGTAGTCAGTGCCTTGCTGCAAGCAAAGCAGATGCCCCTCTATCATCTGGAAGCACGTGGACCGTACCCGCCAGCAACAATAGTTTGGTTCCATGCCTGTGCCCCAACAATGAGGTAGGTGGTGTTGGCGGTTCCTGCATTGAGAGGGAGGACCTTGTTCTCATTTTGTAGCAAGACGTGGCAATTGCCCGCCAGCTCACGAGCCAACTGGTTGTGCGCATCTGATGTGACATTGCTAGACGCAAGAATGGCCCAACCAACGTCAGTGGACCACGATCCACGTCTTGAGACCCAAGCAAAACGAGAGCAAAAGCACGACGCACTTGGAGAAGGCACCCGTGTTGGGCTTATCAAACAGACCGACGCTAAACATGGGTGTTAGGATGTTGAGGACGGAGGCGTTGATCAAGGCCATGGGGACGGTTCCGTTGGAAACCATGTCCTGCCGACCGTAGCACGCCAAACCCGCACGACGGGGTGGGGGCGCATGGAATCAGAACTGAGATCGTCCGAGGACGATACGACTGCACAATGTTGTAGTCTTTTATCTTCCGCGACTCGTGGGGCTCAACCAGCATGTAGGAGAAAGGGTCGAGTAGTTGGCAGGCATGGACATACAGCAAGTGTATCTCCCATGTGGGAGTCGCCCGGCATCTCTTGGTCCAAGCCCTTGTCAATCGAGGTACTATGCGTGGCCCCCCAATCGCTGCGACACAGCATGCCAGTAATGAACGAAACCGTGCGAGGCAGGTGAGGGGAAGAAACAGGGGTAGGCAGCACGAGTACCTCATGACCCAAAAACGTTTGTTGTCGGGATTGAGGCGGTGCTTGAGGTCTGTGTTCAGAGTTTCATTGTTCTCGCAGCTCCAAGCTGAATTGATCTTGTTATAACTGCACATAAAGGAGCCCACGTCGGCGTTGATGGCCCCCTCAAAGGGTGGGTAGTAGATCTTGGAGCAGCACAGCACAACCCAACCAAGTAAGGAAGAGCAGCACGGAGCGCGGAGCAAAGGGGGAGGACAGCCGGCCAAAAAAAATTAAAAATTACGGCGCAGTGTACCTCGAATCGTGTGCGCTCATCCACATTTTCGCTGACGGTCGTCCGCTTAGTCTCCTATGCAGCAGCCAGGCATGCCATTCATCAGTGGCCTGGCTCTAATTGAGCTTTGAGCACCTGATCAAGCGGCTGATTTGCCGGCAGATGGTCGACTAGACCAAGTCCATTTCAAGTTACAAGGAAGGAACATACCTGATTGTTGTTGACATAGTGCTGATTTCAGAAAGAGGGATGTTCGGGCGTGAGCGCTGTGCGCTTAAAGCGTTGATGGCGCCAACGCTGACACGTAAATCACCTTGCTCTGTTCTTGAAGAATGTTGGCTGGGAGCACACGAACCAACCTTGGCATTGGCGATGACACCCTGCGATTGAATGCCCTGGATGACCGGCTGAACCAAGGTATAACCGAGGAAGGGATCCTCCCCGCTCAAATCTGGGCGCGTGCCAACAAAATACATCTTGATGAGAATCAAAGCTGGGGACTTGAGATCCGTCATGTCACTCTAGTACCCAGAGGATGAAAGTTGACGTACACTCAAAATTGCGGCCGTTGACCGGTACGCGGGCCACGCACAAACCAGGGCCTAGCTGAACGTTGGCACCCTGTTCAATGCGGTGGGTTAGGAAAAGGACTAAGAGATCTCGGGCTTACGAGAGCATGAACACAAAAGCCAACCTTGGCTGCAAACTCCGCCCCCATCCCCTCGCCCCACTTGGAGAGCATGGCCACGTCCCAGCTGGCTGCCATCGTCAAGCCGGAGGGCCACGCCGTTCTGGCAACGCATGGAACACACAGAGTAGTGAAGAGAGACAATTGAGCAGGCGGAAGGCACTAGTTGACCACTCCTTTTTTCCTGCGGCCGGTCAAAGAAAGGGAGCAGGGCCTCCTACGTCGTGCGATCGTAACCGTTGTTGGTGGCTCGGAACCCTTGCGGGCCATCATTCAACTGAAGGGCAGGAATCTTGAGGCGATCATTGGGCACGACAAAGCCGGTATAGTTGTAATTTTGCGAGGTACCTACATCCGCACACACGGCCATTAGGGGTTCGTGAGCATCGCAGATGCCACTGGCATCAGCTGGTGGGCTGTCACTGCCACGGCAGATGCTGCGATCTGCGATTGAGCACGCATACCGCTATAACCGTGGAGCATTGCAATCTTCTCGGCCAAAGTCATCTCCTGCATCAATTTCCTGTAGTAGACGCACAAAAGGGCATGAGAGTCTGCAAACGAGGATCAGGACGGCAAGACGAAACCACCAACAAGGCTGCCGTTTAAGCTGGCCAAAGTCCATCGGTCAAAATGAACGTCAGTGGTTCTGCTTACTCGGCACGCGTGGTGGGATCCTCCTCAACATTCATCCACGGCTGCGGCTCGCCGCTACTCACGACAACCAGACCAACCAAAATCCCAACCACACAAGCCAGCCAGGCACGGCGCTCAGCCATCATTCCGCCTTTTCAGGTCGAGCAGAACCAGCAAGATGATCGCGCTTGCTCGAGTCCCTCGGAGATCAATCAAGTTCGCGTGTGTCAGTGACTTTTTGAGAGAGTGATCAAAGCCAAATGGGATCTACACGTCCATGTACACTTGCTTATGTTGTTGTACTTTTGTTTTGTTGATGTTTGATTGATGATGATTTGCTTGCTTTGTGTCGAATGACAAATTTTGTGTTCTTTTTTCTTGCTTGTGTTTGTGTTTTGTGTTTGATGCGAATTGACAGCTGAACATGCACTCACCAGCCGAGCAAGACCCTTCATGGCAATTGGTTGTGTCAAGAAAATGAGATGGCCGTAACCAATCTCATGAACTATCTATAGCAACATCACAAAGAGCATCGCATAGCAGGTGCCCCACAAGACGCTCCCCACATCCCCGCCTAAGCGAGTTCAGAGAAACGTCAACGTCCAAAAAAAAACAACACGGCAAAAATGGAAGCGAGACCACAACGAGTGCACTTGACAAAATGAAGACGATGGCGATAAATGCAGACGCACCGCAAAACTGACACAAAAAGGGTATGTGCGCAGCCAACGTGTGCCAGCGATAAGGTGAACCCAAAAAAAAAAAAAAAAAAAAATAAGGAAAAAGGAAAAAGAACCAAAGCAGATCCATGAGAGTGATCAATAACAAAGGGGAAACCGCACAGAACAAGAAGTCGAGCAGAAACCGATTGTTCTTATATGATCAGTGACATGACGAACAACGGGAAAAAAAAAAAAAAAAAAAGTAGAAGAAGATGAAGAAGGAAAGCGCATCTAGATGTCAAGGAAATGGGAATGCACAAGAATGTACACGAGAGGCCTAAGTGCGGGCGACTGGCACCTGCGGTTGATCGATGTTCTCGGGCGGGACGCGACGGAGCAGCTCCACTGCACCCACAATCGATGTGCAGGGCGGAGAAAGAAGGTCGTTGTTAAGCGTCACCAAACCCTCCTCGTTGACTTCAAGAAGATGGTGGTGGCACTTGGCATCTTTACTCTTCAGGCTCAGGATGGATAAGGCGTAGGAGCCGGCCGATCGAGCGCGCACCAGAAAGGCGTTATCCGACCCATTGGCCAAGAGGCGCTTTTCGGCTTCTGAGCGATCAATCTGTCCGTGAAAGTAGGGCTCGCCGTCGAGCCCCGCCGCCGGCCCCTCGGCCGTGTCTGCTGCATCAGCTGTCCAGAGAGGGACGCTCAGAAAATCTTGATAAAGCTCTGGAGAGCTCAGAATGTGCATGGCCGACGCAAGATCGCGCGCGCCCGGCATCACCTTCTCATTGAAAAGCACCTCGTCTTGGGCGTTGATGCTGAGAACGTGATGCTGCACGCGCGAACGCGAGCGCACGCTCAGCACCAACTGCTTGGTGTTGTCCGAGTAGCGCAAAATATAGCTGCCCACAGGCAAGGTCTCCAACTCGGTCTGCGCATCCCGACGCGAGGCGGAGCCGCGGTACGAGGGGAGTTTGCTAGCCTCCTCAATCAACAAAAGATGGCCCACCTCGTCGTCAGCCACCTCATTCACGGTACCAAATGTA